TTTGTGAAGACAACTCTGCCATTATTCTGATGGGTTTTCCTTTATATGTGATCTATTTCTTTTCTGTAGTGGGTATTATTATAGCTCTTTTTCTGGGTTTCTGGAATCTTGACTATTATATGTCCTTGTGTGTCTTTAGTTGGGTTGATGTTATTTGGAGTTCTATGTGCTTTGGTTATCTGAATGTCAGATTGTTTTCCCATATTTGGGAAGTTTTGTGCTATCACTTCTGCCCATATTCTTTTTATATCATCTGTATTGTCTCCTTCTTTTTCGTTAATGCCTATTAAAATCCCTATTAGGGAGTCCATTAATCTCACACTGTTCATCTTTGCATTGTCTTGCAGATGATGAATTATTTTTCCAGCATCCTAGTTGTTTTAAAGAGATCTTTTCTTACCCTTTCTCTAGCTTCAACAGTGTCTTCAAGATCTGAAACTCAATCTCCACTTGCCTTCAAATGGTTTTGCAAGATTGTGATTAAGATTTTAAGTCCCCCTATATGTCTTTGACTCTCCTTCATATGATCTCTTTGTTTCCTAAATTGCTCATTCAAGGATTCCATAATTTTTGTATTCTCTTCTAATTTTTTATCTGCGTCTTCTTTCAAAGCAGTTTTTAATTCTTTCACTTCAGTTATCCTTTCATTTTATTTTACTTCAAAGATTTATTTCTGATCTGAATTCCTCTATACCTTTGTGCAGTTGTTCCTTTACTTCAGTCACTACTCATTCGGAGATTTATTTCTTATTCAGAGATTAATTCTGATCTGATGTCCTCTATACCTTTCCGCAGTTCTTTCTTTCCTTGAGACACTATTAATTCAGTTATTTCAGCTGGGTGACTCCCAATTTCTTCTGTACTAGTGTCTCCTACATTTGTTCTGGGAGGGCTCAGGGCCTGAGATTGCATTTTGCTTCTTCTCTTTTTTCATTTTGTATAGCACTGTCCTCTGAGCTTTGGTGCATAGCTTTGGTGAAGTTATAACCTTAGCACCTATTGATATTCGGATGCTCATATAGATCTTGGTCTAACAAAATGCCTCAGCTTACAGGGTGTGGATCTATGAAGTTTGATTTCATCTTGATGTGGCTGGCTTGGGTCTGGCTGCTGTGTGTTTAGCTTCTTGGTGCTTCAGCCCATGTAAGCGAACCTGGTGTACCCCTCTGGCAAGACGTTCTGCTCCTGGATTGGCTGGGTAGTTCTGGCCCCTACCCCTTCTGCAGTGACTTCAGGTGCAGAGTTTCACACCAGGCCTGTATGAAGGACCTTTTCTGTGTCTGGAGGCTTCTGGCGGGTGCAGTGGAGCAGAAGCTCTGCCACACACACTCCAGGCCTGTGGTGTATGGAGGGGTCCTGAGAGCACGACACAAGTTCTCATTCACACACTAGGCCTGGCCTGGTTCTGAAGGTGTCTGGACAAGAACATGGTGAAAGGTGTCCATCACATGTTGGGTCTGGCTTGGGTCCAGAGGAATCTGACAGGTGCCAAGAAATGCTGATGGAATTGTATTTCAGAGAAGGGTTAGTATGTCTTCATGGCTGGTAGCAGTTCTTTCACTGTGTCACAAAATTGTTTCACTACCAAAAAGTAGAGTATCTACAGCAGAAAAGGAGCATGGGGAGGCCTGTTCTGAATAAGTGTATCCATGAAAGCACATCTAACAAATCTTCATAACATGCAACCAGACCGGACACCCACCTTTGCATAGAAATGTTGCCCTGGACAAAGGCAGAAAGAAGATAGGCTCTTAGTCTTCTTTTCTACAGTTCTTCAAGTAGCAAGATATTAGAATGGCAAATGAAAATTGAAAAGTTCCTTTATAAGCACAGCTTTGCTTTGCATATATCATGTTTTGAAAATAAGGTGACACCTGGAAGATTATTTTGGGAATGACTCCTGTGATTAGGAAAATGACTTATTAGAATGTGACTGTCTTATTACTGCTTAATAATAGCTGTACACACTCCTCAAAGGTCTAAGCTAAAGCTCTATATAGACTTCTTGAAAAGCTTCCCACATGTTTAAATATTGTATAGTCTCCTTAGTGTAAGAACTCAAAAGAAGAAATAAAAATAAAAAGGTATAACACAATTAAACAGCTTGTTGGCAGCCTCAGACTGAGACAATTAAAAAAATTATGAAAAAGTGATAATTTTATCTCAAAAGTAAAAAAAAATATTTATTTACTTGTGAGTACATTATTAGGTGTATTCCTGATACATGAGAAATCTCATTGCTGTATGGAACACTGATGTCCCAGAAGTGATCTAGACTGCCCTTCAGGAAAGTGATTGCTCAGAAAAGAGCAGGGTACATGCTAACTCTGGTGGGAATGAGCTGCCAGGAGCAATGAACTGTCCTGTGCTCATGTCGATGCTTCTGTATATGGTGCTAAAGTGTAATCTTTTTCTGCTACTGCTGAATTTCAAAGAGTTTGTGAACTACAAAAACATCCCAGAAATTAATCTAACGTTAAGCAGAAAGGAAACTAGTGACTATCAAATATTACTGGACTTTTGTGTGATACGTGTGCCCCCACCCCTGAGCACCAATAAAAATCTGGTAACCCAGTTTCTGTGTCTGATTAACTTTGTTGTCTTTGGCCAGGCCAGTGAATTCCTTATCTGAATGATTGGGAGACCATAGCAGCTGGTTTCTTAGTTATCAGGTTTTGTTTCAGGTGTGGTGGCTTACAGGAACTGAAATGGTGATTGAAAATTTTGATTTCAAGTTTTACTGGTGTGCTGATAAAACCAGATCATTCAACAAAAATAAAATAAAAACACAAGTTGACACAATTTAGGATAATTTTTATATTTTAGCTATAGTGATTTAATATGAATTACTAAAGTCTAAGAACTATGAAATCAATGAGTAAACATGTAATTTATAATAAGCAAAACATTAAAATTGTAAAGATTTGGTAATTCAAGACTTCACAGGGTAATCATAGGTTTTACACTATGACCTGCCTGGAATGCCTAAGTGCAAGGTCAGGAAAACAGATACTAGCATTCAGGTACTGTGCAATTTTCCGTTTCCCATGGGAACAGATTTGGTGAATATCCTTTCATCTTCTCCTGATATATTTCATCAAATGCTTCGGCCTGGGCTACAGTGAAGTGGTTCTTCCAGTCCCCAGTGACTCCTGGAAAATATAGCATAAAGATTTAGAACAGATCTAAGAATTGGGACTAAGAGTTCAGCACATCTCACTGATCAATTCACAGAATCCACCTGACATAGAGAAAGTAGCTTGCTTAACTTAAAGACCAGTTGAGAGCCCATGACAATTCAGAGCTTTTTTTTTAATTATTTTTTTTTAAGACTGAGTATCTACCATTTTTACTTCTACCTGCAGAGAAAAAGTTTCTTTCCTTCTGCTCTCTCCCAGATGATCCTGTATATAGTTGTTTTGTCACAAGCCTGGCTCAAACTTTTGACGCTTCTAGAATATCCTCTTTCTTACCATTTATGGTTCTGCAAAAGACAATAGTTTTGGGCATCTGGCTTCATGTAATTGTTTATAACTGGGATGACCAGCTTTTCTATGTGGACATTTCAATTTCTGAATGTGAATAATTCATAAAACTATCTTGAATATGTGAATTCATTTTTATATTTCACTCTATTGTATTCCTGCATTTTCTTAATTCTTTTTTGTAGTAGTGTAACCAATTTTAATTCAAAATAGACACTCTGAAAACAATAGGTGAAAAAAATAAAGTCCAATAAGCTCTCTCTGAATTTGCAACAGAGTACAACAGTCACATACCAGTTTCACATGGGTCTCAACAATGCACATTACAGCAATTATATGCAAACATTAATATTTTTAATGTGCATGTAGCAACACTGTACTATTTCCCAGAGGCTCTCACATGTTCCAGATACTTCTACCTGAAAACATGTTGGACAGTCTCCTCTATTGCATTATCACTAGGAGTATAACTCAGGATATGAATGGGCAATCTTAATTCTTAAAGAGAATTAAAAATAGTAAAAGGAAATTAGAGACATTTTACACAATTTTACTAAACAAAATTACAGGAATTCAAAAATAGCTCTCATATTGAATTTTATAATCTTGAAATTAGTTGTTCAGATTACCAGAAGCAAGCATGAAAATTTTGTCAAAAAATAATCAAAAATTACAATGAAGACAGAAAAATATTTAAACATTAACTGTTTCTTTCATTACACCTCCACTTGATTCTTAAGAAATTACAAAATAAAACATTTGTATGTGTTGATAGAGCTGTCATACCAAGGTGACACAACTTGGGTGGGTGCTTTAAGCAATAGATATTAATTTTGGCACAGGTCTGGAGGCTGAAATGTTAGTTTATGTTGTTGAGGTGTCTTGGACTCTTATGAGAGTACTGATGGAATCATACTCTCTTTAATTTTAGTTTTAAATTTCCTTTTAATATTTTATTTATTTTGTACAGGGTCTCACTATACAGCTCAGACTCATAGTGATCCTCCCCATATTGGGATTACAGGCATATATCACCATGCCTGGACCAGGGATCAAACCCATTTTATGGTGCTTGCCAGACAGACGCTTAGACTGCTGAGCTATCTTCCCAGTCCCACCTCTCCTTAATTTAAATGGTCATCTTTTTCCATGCTGCCACACTGTTTTTTCTCAGTTTCTTTGTCCTAAATTACTCATTTAAAAACACCATTCACATTCAGCTACAACCTGACAGAGTAGCAGTATTTTGACCTAATGATCTCTGTAAAATTTTTCTATCCAGTCGAAAGACATTCAGGAATTTCCATCATTCAGAAATTTTCCTCATCATAATTTTTCTTTTAAAACTTTTGTATTTATATATTTATTTTTTATTTATTTTGCAGAACTAGGGATTGAACTCAGACCCTTGCACTTGCCAGGGAAGCACTTATTCCACTGAGCCATCTCCCCAGCCTCAAAACTTATTTATTTATTTATTCACTTATTTGGTACAGGGTCTCACTATGCTGTTTGGACTCATAGTGATCCTCCTGTCTCAGCCTTCCCAGCACTGGGATTATAGGTATGCACTACCACATCCAGCTTTGGTGGCCAGCATGGCTCACCTGTGGTTCCAGGGCTGCTGTGGCATGCAATACCAGGCAATGAACCCAAGTCCTTGTGCTTCCCTGGTAGTTGCTTAGACAACAGAGCTACCTCCTTAGCCCAAGGTTTCTCCACAGCTCCACCTCATGATAGTGGAATGACGACTACTCAATCCACTTATCTTGGTTATGGAGACATCTTTGGAAACGTTGAGAGAAATAATATTATTAATAATATCAGACACTTGAAGAATCATTCTATAATCTAGATTCCTTATTCTTTATGAATAGTGAATGTCTTATGAGCCAATGGCATTGTTTTACAACAAAGTTCATTAGATCATGTGGTCCTCATTAAAAGATTTAGCACTGAGATATAAAGAACTTCAGAATTTTAGCCAGTTAGGTGATGACTCACTACCACACATTAATTACTGTACTTTAAACAAAATTAATAATGGATATATTTAATTAATTCTTCTCTGTTCAGTCAACGACTACAAAATGCAATAGAATTTTTACTCTGTGACAGGTACTACCCTCCAGAATAAAAAGTTATAGATAATAAATGAAAAACCAAAAATAAATCATTGCAATTATTTTGAAATATCTTCTAAACCTAGTTTAAGGACTTGGTTAAAAGACTTTGTGCTAATGCAAAGTGGTGAAAATTTTAGGTGTGGGATTTTTTTTTTTTTGGAAAGAAGTCAATGGGAATATGACAGTGAAGGAGACTGGGAAAGCACAAGAAATTAAGAATTAATTTATCTCCACTCACAGCACAAAGGAGAAATACTCAAATATCTTCACTCTTCATAATTTGTCCTAACCAAGAGGAATATCTGCCATGTCCCCTGATGTATTTTGAAAATGAATCATTTTTTTCTTACCTTTTCTTATCAGTGCAAAATTCTCAGTGAAAAAAGACGAAGGCAGGAGGCTGTAATTGGACATCTTGTTTCCTTTCATGAACTGAAAGGAGCTATATTTGATGACAGAATCTATTTCTTCTGGTTTTAATTTCTTTTCCAAGAATTCACAAATCTTTTCTACAGTACGTCTGATGTCCTAAAAGAAGAAAAATCCAAAGCAAGAACTGATGGAACAGGAAAAGAAGAGGAGAAAGGAGCTATGAAAGGTAAAGAAAAGAAAAAATAAAGTCAACATGTAACAAAGGTAGAAAGTTTTGAGTTAGGTCAAGAGTAGGAAGACAGACTGGAAAAATTAGATGACCTGGTGTGTGTGCAGAATGCAATGATGAGGATTTCCAGTGTGATTTGGATATTCCATTGTGGAAAAATAGCACCTCATTTTTATCTATTCCTCAGCTGGTGGGTTTTCTGTTTTTCCCCCAAGATTTAGCTATGACACATTGTGCTGCTCCATACATAGGTGCACATGTATCATTATGTTTTCAGTTCCTCTGGAAAACACCCAGAAGGGGAATAACTAAGTTTAATTGGACCTTCAATTCTAGATTTTTACATTAGTCCCACAGACATTTCCACAGTGTTTGTACCAGTCTAAACATCCACTAAGAGTGAAGAACGTTTCATTTTTGGCACAGAACTTCCAGACATTTGTTAACTTTTTGATGACAGCCATTCTTTCTGCAGTGAAATGCAATCTCCATGTTGTTCTAACATGCATTACTTCAATGAGCAATGATGTTGAACATCATTTTTATATATTTACTTGTCATTTACATTTCTTCATCTGAGAAATGTATATTCATCTCAGGTGTTCACTATTTGATTAGGTCTTTGAGTATTGCTCACCTGATATTTAAAAAAAATTCTTTATATATTTTAGACACATAGCCATTATCTAAGGGAAAAGCAGTTCAAAATTTTCCCCCAATTTATTGCTTTTCTTTTTACTCTGATGTTTTCTTTGTATGTGGAGAAACTTTGAAGAAAGATGAGATCCCAGTTGGTGATTCTTTGAAATATTTTTCATGAAGTTCGGATTTCCTTCACAAACTCTATCTGCACCTATGTCTTTAGTATTTGCTCTAGTAAATTTTATCTTTTTGTTTTAATATTGAATTATTTGATCCATTTTGGTTTTATTTCTTTATTTTTTATTACTAATTTTATTGAAAAACAAATGCCAATGAGACAGTTGCAAAACAGGATAGTAGGACAGTTACAATAATTAATATATTGCATATTGTTGTCTTTGTAGTAGTTATTCATAGTGGAAAATTTAGACATGATATCCTGTTCAAACACTATTAGTACAAATCTTTCTTCTTATGGAATTAAGAGAAAGTAGCTGTATATCTATCCTAATTATTTCGTGTATGCGGATAAAAATTGTCCTTCATTTATATGCCCATTTTTGTTTAATTTTGTCAGCGCTGGGTATTCCATTGCCATTTAAATATTGCATGTGCTTGAGTTCAGCAAAATAATCCAATATAGTCCAATAGTCTATATTATTAGTGGGTTACTCTCAGGACTTCCAGTGTCAGATGTTGACTTGAGCCTTTTACAGCTCAGTGTATTAGTATGGCTTTGTATTTTTTTAATCTCATTTTTATACTTTTTTTGCTGGATGATTAAGACCAAGACAAGCAAGACCTATATAACAAGAAGTGTAACTTCTGTATCTGTTAAGGTCTGTCAAATCACCTCAGGATTTACCCTGAAGCCGTGTACTGCAGTTTGTAGATCATTTGTCAGTGTCAGCCATGTGGATGAGTCATGGCCATTGCTTGACCAATTTGCTCTCTGTGAAAATTTTTTCACTCCACGTAACTCTCCTTAGGTACACTGTACATCATAGATCACTTTCGTCTGTGGCCCCATGATCTCCTTGATCAGAAAATTTGGGACATCACTGAGTTACAAGACGTTACAATACAGGTTCACTTATGCCCTGAGTCCTCACTAACCTTGAAGTGCTAGGGCCAAACTGTTGACTGTCCTTTCAGCCCTTCTTTTTCTCTAATTTTTGGTCTGCAATCATAAGCTGTTAACCCTTCAAAGAGAAGTTTAATGATGTTATTACCCTATAACATACGAGGCTGAGCTTAGCCTCACTATCTGTCTGAATATCAAACATCTTAGACATGACATGATTGATCCATTTTGACTGAAGTTTTCTTCATGTTGATAGGCATGGGTGTATTTTAAGCCTTCAGCATTTGGAAATCTAGTTTTCCCTGTACTAATTTTTTAATTGTTTTTTTTTTCTCCAGTGGACATTTTTGTCCCTTTTGTCAAGATAAGATGTCTGAGTGTGTTTGTAGTTTTGTTTGCATCTCCTAATCTGTTTCATTGATATTGAAATCTGATTCATTTTCCAGAATCATGCCAGTACCATTTGGATTTTGTAACAATAACTTTTTAGTTAGGGTTTGTAAAGCCTCCTACCTTTCCTTTGTTACCAAGAATTGGTTTTACTATCTGAAATCTCTTCTATTTCCAGATGAATTTTAAGAATGTCTTCTCTGGCTCTTTGGGTTGTATTAATGGTATGTTATTGGACATTGCATTGATTCTGCACTACATTTTTGGTAGTATGGCCATTTTTACAATGTTGCTTCTACCTGTTCAGAAGCAAGGAGTATCTTCCCATTTCCTGAAGTTCCATTTAATATCTTCATCGTAGTATAATTTTCACTGTATAAATATTTTACTTCCTTTCTTCGATTGATTCCTAACTATTTCACATTGTTGAATATTGTTATTACAGGCCTGGTTTCCTTAATTTCCTTCTGCAAGTTTTTTTGTGTGTGTACACGTGCAGAACAGCTATTGGTTTTTGAATGTTGGCTTTGCATCCTGTGACCCTACTTATTTTGGTAAATACATCGACAATTCTCTTGAAGTTTTTGTGCTCTTCCATGTAGAATAGCATGGCTCCTTTGTATAATGTATATAATGATAATTCCACTTGTTCCTTTTCAATCATTATTACTTTACTTTGTCTCTCTGATATAATTGGTTAATGTTTCCAGAACTGTATTTGTTGCATAAGAATGGTGACCATGGATATCCTTGTCTTATTCCTGATTTTAAACTGAGGGCTTTCAGGTTTTGCCCATTTAGTTTGATGTCAGTTGTTGGTTGGTCAGACATAGCTTATATCATGTTGAGACAAAGAGCACCTATTCTTGTTTTCTGTAGGGATATTTTTTAAAATCATTAATGAGTGTTGGGCTTTCCCCTGAAGAATTTTGTGCATTTATTTCAGTGATCATTTAACTCTTGTCTTTGCCTTCATTACTGTGGTGTGCTACTTTTATTGATTTGCATATATTGAATCATCCCTGCATTCCTGAGATGAATTCCAACTGGTCATTATGTATAATCTTCCTGATGTCTTGATGCATTCCTCTTACCAGCATCTCATTGAGACTTTTGCTTCTTCTTTTTTTTTAGTGTAGCCATATATTTAATTTAAGAATATTCTTTTTTTTAACACACTCTGTCGATTTTATTTTATTTTTTACTTTTTAAAGTTTCTAATACT